TGGAGACTGAGCTCAAGATGTGCCCCAACAGAACGGTATTAATAACTGATTAGGGATAATCTAATGGTACTTTGGCAAGACTGTGACTGCTTTCTGTGCTCCTGTTAAAAATTTGCCCGAAGCTAAATTAGAGTTTTGGACCACTATCATTATTAGTGAAGATCTCAAGACAGCCTAATATTGGCTCTTTCATGTGGTTATTAGAATTCAATCTCATGTGGGTCTACAAGACAAAAGAATAAATGGTGCAAATAGAATTGCAAAATATATAATTTGAGGAGAAAGAGTACTGAAGAATTAATGTTGGAGCTGATAGGTTACTACACCCTGGTAAGCCTCGCTGCCTGATGCAGCAATCCAAATCAATCCAAATCAAACCTGATTTCAAATATTCCATGTTTAATGGATACAATGCTCCAAGGTGGCCTTCCAGTCCCCCAGAGAAGAGAAAGGAAAAGGAGACAGGAAAACCATGAGTCTGGTTTCTGGGGGGAAGTTTAAATACCCTGTGGAAGTGGTCTTGAGCATCTCTGAGGGAGGAGTCATCATTTGGGAAGCTTTCTGAGATGTAGCAGTGTTTGGAGATGGGGGAGGGAGCTTGGGTGGAATTTCCCCCATAGGAGCCAATGTTTGTGCTGAAATAGAAAGAAACGAAATAAAGTATGTGGTGCCCTCATGTTGAGATCCCTACGCAGGTAGTCCTGACACTTGTGAAAGAAAAACAGTTCTAATTATGTTGCTAAAATGAGGTGACAAAGGAAAGCTTATGCAAATGTAATTCAAGGGAATCCAAGTTCCATCCCAAATGGCAGTTTGATTTGTTAACATTAGCTATGTGCTTCTGGTTTAAGAGTCATGAAGAATACAAGAGTAAAGGGGTTATGAGATCTTCCTCCATGACAACAAAAATCTGAATCCAGACATGTGGGTGTAGATTCCTTACATGAAGGCCTGGAAAGGTAATTGCGTGAAGCAGTGAAAGTGAATACATAAATTGTATTAGAGACCCTAGGATGTTACAGGTGCCAAAGGCTTGGGATGCTACTAGAGAAGGTGCATACAGGAAGTGGAGTCAGTCCCTAAGAAGAGAATGTGGTGGCTCTTTGAATGAGAATAACCCCTTCCCCCATCAAGCTTATATATTTAAATATGCATTTCTCAGTTCCTGGGACTATTTGGAAGAATTAGGGAAGTCTGGCCTTGTTGGAGGAGATGTGTCATTGGAGCTTTGATATTTCAAAATCCCAGGCCATTCTCAGTTATCCCTCTCTGCTTTGTGCCTGTGGATGAGAATGGAAGCTCTCTGCTTCTGCCCCAGCACAATGCCTGCCTACATGCTTTAATTTTTCCTGTCCTGATGATAATGGAGTCTAGCCCTTTGAAAGAGTAAACAAAATCCCAATAAAATTTTTCTGCTACAAGTGGTCTTAGTTATGATGTCTTATCACAACAATTGAAAATTGATTATTATTTTTGCTTTAAAACGATCATGTAAAACAAAAAAGAGTAGGCATGAAGAAATATCTGCAAAAACTAAGGAAAACACAGTCAACTGGATTGAGTTATAGAGTAGTGAGATGTTTGAGAAAATGTTATCCCATAATGCTTCTGGGGCAGAGAGTTTCCAGAAAAGATGAGTGTTTGAATTAGAAGATTTTATCAACCAAAATTCTTCTATGAGTACAAGAGACAGTCATCCAATCTACCAGGGGATTATGGAGAGTAGTAAGTGAAGGATGATGGGGTGAGTCCTGACCATAGCTGATGGCTTGAGTGGAACACTGTTGCATTAAATGGATTATTTGTTTGCCAGTGTCTCTCCTGATGGTCACCAACTCAGAAAGGGCCTGTATTAAATGATCATTTTCTTTTGTTTTTCTAGTTGACAGATGGCTATTATAGAATATCTTAGCATCTAGCACCCACATGATGTGAAACAGTTTCCCAATTTATCTATCATCTATGTGTGTATGTCCGCATGCATATATCTATCTATCATCTATATCTATCTGCCTATCTCTCATCTATCAGCCCATCATCTGTCTACCTGTCTATTATCTTTTATTATCTAGTAATTCTACTGCTGTGTTTTCAAGATAATCTTGGCTAATAATTACTGCTGTTCAAATGAATATAAAACATACCAGTGAATAGTAATAAAAAAGTAGAAAACCATATCTAAAATTCTGTCAAAAGTCCTGAATTGGATTCTCACCAAACCATTATACATGTGACAAATTGGCACACAAGAATGTTCAACATCATATGCCAATAAGCAAATGCAAATTAGCACAAAAATTAGATTCTACTGCTTACCCAAATATTAGTTGGAATAAAGAGCCTTTATGTCAACAATACTGACAAAATGTGAGTCTATAATGAACAAGATGCTGATTACTGGTAGGAATTCAAAAATGTCATAATCACATTTGAAGAAAATTTGGTAATTTTAATGGAAACATATGCTTGTGTCTTATACTATAGCAATCCCTTTCCTTGCATACTTAGTTTTAAAAATTGTTAAAATATAAAATCTGAGCACAGGTGTTTATGGAAGTTTTATCTATAATCACCAAAATATAGTAGTAAACAATATATCCCTTGATATGTATGAAATATGTGCTATATCCAGATAGTGCAGTCTTTATATGCTGAGTTTTTGACTTGCAATATGTGGTACATACAGACAATAAAGTATTACGTCTAAAAGCAAAGGAAGTTCCAAGATATGAAAAATAAGTGAAAAAATTAAGTGAATATGAAGAAGATAATCCAAATTAGAAACCACCATAGATTTCAATTATGCAAGCTTTGTAAATAAATATCAAACAGTTCAAAAAGAAAAATGCACAGTGGTTGTAGGTGATGGCAGCAGGGAAGAATAATTAAGTGAGGGAATATATATATGTAGTAAGGAAAATTCTTTGTCAGCTAGAAACATGTGGATATACATCAGTGTATATCTGCCAAAACTCAGAGAAAAGAAAACCAAAAGTGACCCTTGCTGTAACCCTGGAAGTTAAATGGTAATGAGATGTCCATGAAGGTTTGTAACAAATGCAGCAGTCTGAGAGATAGTGACTGTATGCATTGCTGTGAGGGTGTAGAAGTGAGGAATATATGTCACTCAGCTGCATTTTCATTCCTACTTTTACTGTACAGCACATAGAATCTGATCTCAAGGTAAAACTTATACAAAAGGGAAAGGAAAAGCTGTTAGCCACCTCTGGGTCCTCTAGGTCAGCTGCATCGAAGTTTGTTGCTAGTGCTCAGCTTATAATGAGATAACACTAGCAAACTGTTTGACTATCTAATCCTTCATGTGTCTTTAATAGTGACTAACAGCTAGGTCATCAGCATGCTGGGCTGCGTTAATGAAATTTGTAGGTTTAGATGAACGCATGTCTATTGTTCCTGAGATCAGATCTGTGTGTGTGTTAATTTTGGATGTGATCTGTTCTTTCTATAGTCAATTTGGCTACTTTGTTTCTTTCCAGTTGGTTCAGGAAGCAGATATAGTGCACAAATGGAGACATACTGTGACTTCAATGGACTTATGGGCAGGAAGCACTACATATTTCCTTGTTAGGTCTTTCTAAATGACTGACATTAAAAATAGATGCAGAAGAGAACCTTATTATGTACTGTGTAATGATTGTTTTTTACCTTTATGTATTTGTTTTATAAATATCAATTTAATATTTCATGATAAAGATTAATCTGTGAAACATTTTTATTCTCCTATGACATAAGTTCCATTTATTTTATGTTTTTCTTTTTTTAATCAAAGTACCAAATTGGGTTTAATTATATTGAATTATAATCATATTTGACAATACAATATTGCTCTTTTTTCCTTCTTTTTAAATTAGTATTTTCTTAATAAAATTATCTTTATTTTTCAAATACTAGAAACATACAGAATAGCTATCATTTAGAAAGAATTTTTATGCATTCTATGCATGTTCCTTCCTACATGATTCCGTTTCCTACTTTGTAATTTACATATGTGTTAAAACTGTTGCTTGTAAGAGAAATGCTCAGGGATTTAGCTTATGTATAAACTAGATGAGTCATTTAATATTATACTATTAGAATTTATTTTGATAGCAATCAGTTTCTTCTCTGTTTACCTTCCTTAAAGTCTCTCCCAAATGTGCTCAATTGTTTGTTCACAATGTTTGAAATTGTGGTATCTTTTTTTCCTGGTGCCTAGGCTTTCCAATCAAAATCACTGTTAATCCAATCAATTCAGTTGCAAAAGGAGATAGACAAAAAGAAAAGGGAAGTATCATAATGTCTTGTATTATAAACCATGAGTAGATTCAATAATTTCTTCTACTATTATAGATTCTCTTCTTTTTATCCTTAACCTTGGTTATGCAACTTAATTCTTTCATGTCAGGATACTTTATATTAAAAGCTTAGTAAATATAGAATCAAGAAGTTGTATTGGGTAACTTCTAATAAGATACAATGAAAACTAATCGAATGTAAGTTTGATGGACATTCCTGATATTTGTCTGAAGGGTCAGATGGATGGTTAAGGTATGTTAATGAGGCTATTTCTGAAATATCTGGAAAGTCAATGACATGACTTAATGGATAAAGATGGCTGTCACGAAGCTTTCTGATTTAAGTTTGAGAGTTTGAGCCCCACAATCCCACATAGTAGGAAGAGAGGACATATGTTCACAAGTTGTCCTTTGACTTCAACATGCATGTCTTGGCTGAAGGCTTCCTTGGGAAGCCACCTAACTCCAGACACACACAGTGAACAATTTCTTATTTTGACACAGAAAGACCTGTTTTGAGATATGTGCAGGCAAACGAATGTATAAATAATGCAGTTTTTCAATAATAACACGTTTTTCTGAAAACCATATCTCTTACTTAAAATTTCCAAAAGTCATTGCTGAAAACACTGTTCCTGCTTCTCCAAAATGTTCTTGTTAAATGTAAAACTTGTACTGATTGTTTTTTAAATCTTTGTATTCCAGGAGTCATTAGAACAGCTTTACATAACATGGACAGAGAAGCCAGAGAGCACTACTCAGTGGTCATTCAAGCCAAAGACATGGCTGGACAAGTTGGAGGACTTTCAGGATCCACAACTGTCAATATAACCTTGACTGATGTCAATGACAACCCACCGCGATTCCCACAGAGTATGTACCTGTTGCCTATATATATATTGCATTGGTTAACATTCATTTATGCAAAACAAATGGAATAATAGGATATATAATGTACTGTTTTATCTAGTGAGAATATTTTATGACATTTCTGCTGCTGGTCTTTGTGCTTGTGTCTTCATTAGTGATGTGCAGAGATAGCACTTGACATAAGGCTTTCTAATTCTGAGACACAGCTCTGTGTTATAGGTGAAGATTTCTCCTGGCATGAACTAGATTAAAATGGTGAGATCATAAAACAAAGGAATATTACTTGTTACAAAGGATGTATTTATGTGTTACTAAACATTCATGAAATATTTATTGTACATTTTTATGTGGGTGATTCATCCAAAAAATTATTTAATATAAAGGTTATGAAATTACACTATTTTTATTATTTATTTTTAAGTTTACATTTAGATTAGAAACAAGGTTGCTTCACAAGTCAGTTCCAGGCCCCTCTCCGTTTCCCTGCCCTCCTCCTGTGCCCTCCCCCCAACCTCCCCAATATCCCCTCATTTCCCCAGGGAGGGTGAGGCCCCCCATGGGGGTGTCCACAGTCTGTCATTTCATCCAGAGCAGGGCCCAGACCCTCCCCCAAGAATTCAGGGTGAGAGTGCATCTCACATTGTTGGATGGGAGTCCAAAGACCATGTGTATACTCGGGATGAAAACTGATCTACTGCCCAAGGCTCAATAGATTACCTAGGCCTCCTCACTGACACCCCCATTCAGGGGGTCTTGATCAGTCCCATGCTGGATTCCCAGGCTGATGCCTGGGATTCAAGTGTTAACCCTTGTCAGGTCAGCTGTTTCTGGGGGCTAAACCAGCCCAGTCTTAACCCCTTTGGTCATCAGTCCTCCCTCTCTGTTACTGGCTTTCTTGAGTTCAGCTCAGTGCTTAGTCATGGGAGTCTGCCTCTTCTTTCATCAGCCACTGAATGAAGGTTCTGTTTCCCAGACTCTCTGGACATGGGATTGTAGGCTGGCACTCCCCAGGTCTATGTCTAAAATCCATATATGAGAGAGTACATGCCATGTTTCTCTTTTTGTGACTGCATTAACCTCACTCAGGATGGTTTCTTCTAGTGTCATCCATTTGCCTGCAAATCTCATGATTCCATTGTTTTTTTTTTCTGCTGAATAGTACTCCATTGTGTAAATGTGCCACATTTTCTCTATCCACTCTTTGGTTGAGGGGCATCTAGGTTGCTTCCAAGTTCTGGCTATTACGAATAATGCTGCTATGAACATAGTGGAACAGACATCCTTGTTGTATGAATGGGCATCTTTTGGATATATGCCTAAGAGTGGAGATGCTGGGTCTTTTGGTAGGTTTATTCCCATTTTTCTGAGGAATCTCCATACTGATTTGCAAAGTGGCTGAACAAGTTGGCACTCCCACCAGCAGTGGAGGAGTGTTCCCCTTTTACCACATCCTCTCCAGCATAAATTGTCATTGGTGTTTTTGATTTTAGCCATTCTGACAGGAGTGAGATGGTATCTGAGAGTTGTTTTGATTTGCATTTCCCGGATGGCTAAGGATGTTGAGCACTTTCTCAAGTGCTTCTCAGCCATTTTAGACTCCTCTATTGAAAATTCTCTATTTAGTTCTGCAGCCCACTTTTTAATTGGATCCTTCGGTGTTTTGGAGACTTGCTTCTTGAGTTCTCTGTAAATCTTGGAGATCAACCCTCTGTCAAATGTGGGATTAGTGAATATTTTCCCCCATTCTGTGGGCTGCCTTTTTGTCTTGCTGACTGTGTCCTTTGCCTTACAGAAGCTTCTCAGTTTCAGGAGGTCCCATTTATTAATTGTTGATCTCACTGTCTGTGCTACTGGTGTTATGTTCAGGAAGCAGTCTCCTGTACCAATTCATTAAAGCATACCACCCACTTTCTCTTCTAAAAGGTTCAGTTAAAAATAATTTATGTTATAAAATGGCAGTTATTGTAGCCAACCTTTAATCAGATAATCGTCAATTTCCATACCAACACTGCGTGTAAGTTGCCACAGATATCTATTCTGCAAAGTCTGTTGGAAACTGTGATCAAGTATACAATATGTTGAACCAATAAAGGCTAAATGCAAGTCAGTGTCACATGCCCATCTCATACTTATTTCTTCTTATTACACACCAACAATAGATATGCTGGGACATTGCCTATTCCTAATACATGATAAGGCATCAAAAAGTTTATTTCACTTGTATATTTTATGTGCTTAAATGGCTTTATAATACCCCTACTGCAACTGGTCTGAACTCTTTTTTTCAATTAAGGAAATTGTGAATAGGTAACTCTTGATGGACTTTCACGTATGTCCTTCTCGTGCATATTCCCATAGGCATATGCTTCCTCTGCTATGTGGAAATCTCTAATTTAAATTGTTTTCTCACAATAAATGTTCATTCTAGTTGCCATAAATTTTAAATTGTTGCTGAGTGAATAAATTAGTTGAATTTCAATACTCTTTTCAACTGTGAATGTTTAAAATATCACTACTAAAGTCATTTTTATAATATTATATTTGTTTAAATAACATTTTTATTTAGTTTACATACCAATCAGTTTCACTTCCCTCTTCTTCTCCCATCCTTATCTTTCCTATCTACCCCTGTCTCCATCCACTCCTTCTCCATCTCCATTCAGAAAGGGGCAGGCTTCTCATGGGCTTCCCAAAACTTGGCACATCAAGTTTAGTCAGGACTGAGCTCCTTCCATTATAAATAAACAACATACTAAAACAAAAACCTCTCTAAAAATTATTCTAGAGATCAGATTGCAACAGGATCAATAATATTGCTTTTACACTATGAATAATTATGTTCAAAAGAAAGCCATAGAGCACATAAGGTCCACAATATATTAGATGTACACACAATTTAACTTCAATAAACATTTTTTAAAATACAATGTAACCAAGAATCTGTTATATTAGTGTTCCACATAATGCATATTTTTAACAATATTGTGAATAATATAACATAGAGCATGCATTATTCTGATACAACTATCATTATACAATATGAAACAATGGAAATTTAAGACAGTTTTAGATATGTCACAGCAAAATTTAATACTCCTCTGTTACTTTACCAGTTTTCTATCTATTGACTAAATGCCCATATTCTCTCCCTTTAGCATTGTCTTCGGGTAAACAACACATTGAATGTTTTAAGCTAGCAAAGAGGACTTTAGATATTCTGAAAATAAAAAATGTAATGGCTCCTTTTTAAAGTGATAGACATATTTATTCTCTTTCTTGAATATTATGCAAAGTGTGAATATATTGAAATCTCATATTGCACTAATATGCAAAATTATTATGTCACTAAAAGACTGAATAAATTTTTAAACAATGAAAGATCATGATAGAGTAATGAATAAAAATTATTAGTTGGAAACATGAAACACTTTGTCCTTTCTATTACATTAGAGTACCTTTATAGCTATACATTTATTAGCACTTTCAGATTTTCACCTAATGTATTTTAAACATCTCCCCCACATTTGTCCCATTGCTACTCTCTCCCTCATCTTATATCTTTAATAACCTTTTTCTTAAATAAAGATTTTAATATTGAAATTCTAAATAACCCCTAAACTCAAAGTGTACATGATAAGGGCTTAATTTCTACCTATAAAAATCTACATTTATAAGTCAAGATTCTATAAGAGATTTATATAATAATGAAATTTCTTCACATGAGGATATTTAGTTTATATAAATGAATCTAAATATGAGGCAAAGCTTTGTAATTTCATGATTTTAGTAGATAACAATGTTAGTGTTGGAAGCATTAGCTCATTTTTTTTAATGTATCATTGCTCTCTCTGACAAGTACATGTTATATTTGTATTCTGACAGAATGTACAGTGGCTTTCTTCCACTTCAAACATTTTTGGACAGAATATAAACAAGACTAAGACCCTGCCATACTCAGTAATGTGATTATCAGTTTGAGAAGAAGATAGCATGTACCCAGAATTTTTTATTCTGTCTTGTCCAATAGATGGTTTTGATTTAGATTGAAACTAAACATAATGCAGTGTGTTGAATAACTTTGTGCCACTATATCATTATCTTGTCATAGAAAAGTCTGCTGATTTATGTAGATACATTGTTACCTATCTTTCCTTTTCTTAGGCTATGCACTTGTGATTTCCATCTTTCTTCCAAGAACTCAGAGATGTTTCCTACCGCACCATTGCAATTGACTTTAGTATCAATGCCTTCTTCACAACATTCTAAATTATTTTCCTTTTTCCATTAATTTGTGTGGCAAGATAATATACTTTTATATCATGTACTTAATATTCATTCTGTCTTAATAGTAAGTACGGTTTTTCTTTATTTTTGGTTGTGAGCCTAGCCTTTAATGGCTGAGCCATCTCTCCAGCCCCGGTTTTTCTTTATTTAAACACCTGATTGTAATATTCTTTTTTTTCTTTTTCTTTTTCTGAAAATTTTACATAATTTTCTTGTGCAATGTATTTTCTTATGTTTTCTTAATTGTGAAGCACATAGACACTCTTTTTAAACTCTTTAAAGCTATCTATTTATCAGTGAGATAATTCTGTCACAAAGTATTCAAGTTTCTTATTTATATGCTAGTCATTACAATACTATACCTGTCACATGTGCATCAGCAGTCTATTGACTTTGTTTTGTTCCTATTTATGCTGGATATTTTTTGCTACCTGTATTCTCTATATGATTCTATTTCTGTGGTTTTTGAATTCTCCAGTGAACTTATCTGCCACATTAACTAAGCACACATTTCAGCAGTGAAATACTCAGCTGTGTTCATACTTTGTAATACAGAGCTTTGGTTTAAGATAAAGATCTCCACCTTTTTTATTTAAATGTAATGAGCACATTTAATTTATAACCTTTTCCTAATACTTACAATTTAAAAGTCATTTTGCTGAAATTTTCTACTCTTTTTAGTTCTTGAAAAAATAAAAGCAATTAGAGTTATCACTGTC